GTGTATATCATACATGAATTTTAATCCTTTTCAACTTTTTCATCCCCCTCCCCCTCTCTCTCTCCCTCTCTCTCTCTTTCTCACACACACACACACACACACATCTATCATACACAATAGAACATTATCATATGCACACATATACGTGTGTGCAGACAAACATACACATATACATGGACATGCACACACGCCTGTATAATGCATGCCTGCACTTGATTTGATTGTTGTAAAGAGTCTTCTTGGGAAGAAAGTTTTCATGGGAGAACAGAGGAGGGAGGAAGGGAGGGTAATGGGGATGAAAAAGTTGAAAAGGATTAAAATTCATGTATGATATACACACATGAAATTGACAAAGAATAAAAAATAACCCAAAATACTTTCTTTTAAAAGCAACCTAACAGAGAAAGGTTTATTTCGGCTCACAGTTGGAAGGCACAGTCCATCAGGGTGAGGAAGTCAAGGCAGAAGCTGCTGGTTCTATCTCATCCATAAGCTAGTGTGCAAATCCCCCTTCCCCATTTCGTACAGTCTAGGATCCCGGGGAGAGGGGGATTCCATCCACAAAGAGGAAAGTCTTCCCATCTCAGTCAGCAAGATCAGGATAATTCCAGAAGGCACTTCCCCCACAGGATTCTATATCTTGTCATGTTGCCGATTAACACTAACCATTACAGGGTTGTTATAGCTGGTGCTTCTAACAAGGCATCTTTATTGTCTCTATCCAAGGAGGGTTTTGTTTGTTTGCTTGTTTGTTTTGTTTTGTAGAAGGAACCCATTTTAGGCTCCCTGGAAGCTAGCAGGCTGTTCTGCCATCATCCTGGAGATCTGAAGCCGGAGATGGTCCAGCTCTGGTCTTGGTCTACACAAAAGGCAAGCCTGTTCCCCAGGGCTCTGATTTCTGACCAAGGACTTGCCCTCAGTCCTCCACTCAGGCTTTTCACCGTGTTCTGCTCTTGTAGTTCCTAGCTGTCTTTGGCCATTCTGTTGTTTGATATATTTGATTGTTGTCTGGGACCAAAAGACTGGCATTCGGGGGTCAGAGATATGCCTACTGTTTCCTTCCTGACAAATAACTCGAAGCCTGGGGCTGGCTCTCTTCTGAGTACCCCCCTGCCCTGCAGAAGGAGGTGTCTAGGGACTGCCTCTGAGTAGCCAGCTACTGAAATCCTATAGAGTGGAAGGCTCCAGCAGGGCTGTGCCCAGGATCTCATTTTCCTGGGCTACCTGGATCCCAGTAGGAGCTGCTGTGACTGCCTTTTCCTTCCCAGAGCTGCAGGAGGCTCCACAGATGGAGGGGCTCTGCCTAGCTCTGCACCCTGTTTTACAGCTGGGAACAGAACCTGTCCTGGGGACACCATGGTCAGTTACTGGGACTGTTCATTTCTCTTGTTTTGCAAAGTGAGCACACAATCTCAGAGGCATGTGGAAATGATGTTGAGACCCACTTTGCAGATGGGGACGCTGGGGCCTAAAGGGGTTGAGGTTTGGGACTGCAGAGACGGTGAGCAGCAACTATGCGGTATTTTGCTGAAGATGGAGGTAGGTCTCTTCTCCTTACATGCAGCAAGGTGGGAAACCCTCCGCCCGGCTATGGGAACTCTCTAGTGCTGCCCATCCCAGGGAAGACCACTCTCTTTTTGAGGCAGGTTCTTAGGTAGTCCAGGCTGGCTTTGAATTTTCTAAGTAATCAAGGGTGGACCCTCATCCTCCTGTCTCCCTCCTCCCCAGGCGCTTGACTTACAGGTTGTAGCGCTGTGCCTGGTCTACTTGGTGCTGGGGATCAACCCCAGGCCTTGCTCATGTTGGTCAAGCACTCTATCTACTAAGATGCACCTCCAGCCCCTCCCCACTTTCAATAGCTAAGTGAGCCTGTCACCTGCCCCATTGGTTATCTTCCTAGTAACAACCATAACAACAAGTCTATGTGCTGTGTGTGCATGGCCCCACACAAAGCCACCCACACCCTACACTTCACTGACCCCTCCCACTGGCTCCAGAAAGAGATGTTCCAATGACCCCATCCTATGGATGGGCATGTTGAGGTCTTCTTCTGAACCAGGTCCAGCAGTAAATAGCAGGCTTCCCAGCCAGCAGCATGGAGGAGAAAGCTGCTAGGGAGGAACGGGAGGCTGGCTCTCCCAAGAGCTCAATTGCCTTCTCTTCTCTGCTCCCCACTTGTGGTCCCTCGACCTCCATCGCACCCCAGCCTGCAGCTCATCCTTTCGATCTCTGCTCCCGAGCACAGAAGGAATCGGCAGCTTGGGGTGCTGCATGCTCGGCTCTATCCAGGTCCTATCGGGATCGCTGCTTCTCTGGTTGTGTGCTCACTTTGCAAAACAGCAGAATTTATAGCTCAAGTAATTGATCTGGGTGTTCCTGCCTCCCGCCATCTCGCTGGGTCTCCTAATTCCCTTCTCCTCGTTTTTTCCTCAGCCTTCTTCTCAGCACACCATCTGTGGTGTCAGAGAATAGGAAGCCAAAAAGGGAGGGGAAGGTTCCAGCCCCAGATATGCCAATTAAGAGTCGGATGAACCTCAGTTTCCCCATCTACCAAATGGAGGACCTGATGGCACTCCTAGGGCCTTAGGCCCGGGGTGCTGGACCCAAGAGTGACCATTTACTTCCCCAGAGTCACTCCAGGAGGTGCAGGTATGACTGAGATCCCCTTTATGGATGGGAACGTTGTGGCTTTGAGAGCTTGGTGGTTTAGGGTCCCAGAGCTGGTAAACAGTGACCTGTGCTTACATCCAGGCCTCTGTGGCCACGATCCTAAACCGGAAGCCACACTGCCCTTCTACGACCAAAGAGGAGCGGACATGATCGGACCCTGGCCCTGGCCCTGGCGGACCTGTTTCTTTTTCTCTGTGGCCAAGCATGGGTATGAGGCAGAGTGTTGAGGCACAAGGGAAAAATTCTTTTAAGAGGTAGAGTCCTAATGACTTCTATCCCTCAGCGCTGGCCTCTCCAAAATCTCCTGTATGGCCAGGGGCCTCCTGGGAGGCCCATACAGCCTTCTAGAACGATCCATAAAAGGACTTCAGGCGGCATATCACTGGTCTTTCCCATGGCAGGTGACTTAGAAGGGTCCAGCGTGCCTGGCATGGCCTGCCCCTGCAAAACTGGGCTGCCCCTGCAAAGCCTGTCCTGAGCCCTCTGGGGCGGCCTCTGGGCCCCTTTCTGTTCGGTTTGTGGGGTGATTGCTTTTCTGGAGTCACTGGCTTGCCCTCCACTCTCAGTTTAGCTCTGCCCGTTTGTCTTTGCCTCTCTCTTAGCCACCAACAGGGTTTGTTTCCATTCCATGCCGCAACCTCTCCAGGCCAACCCATCTTCTCGTCCATAGCTGTGCATCCGAGGGCGCCTAGGCCTTGTGCAGCAGCCGGGCTTCGTCTTGGCCGGGTCCTTAGCTGGTGACAGAGGCCGTTTAGTCCTTGCTTTGGAGCTCATCCTCAGTGGCCGCCTGCTCGCGCCTGGCTGGAGGAGAGGTGAGAGCAGGCTGGAGGGCTGCAGGCAGCGGCTTTCAGAACAAACAGAATTTTTTTTTGCAACTAGAGGGGGAAGCACAGAGCTAAAAATAAAACGAAAAGATCAGTATCTGTCAGTCTGACAGCTGATTGGCTGCTCGGAGATGCATATAATTACCAGCAACTGGCGCTGGGTAGGCAAAGCCCGGAGAAACTGCTGAGATGAGGTTAGGATTTAACCTTTAAATTCTGGAGCCACCGGAAAGCTAGGGGAGACGACCGGCGTCGGTGCTAATGAGGATGGGGGGCGGGGGCCGGGGGCACCGAGTCGGGGTCAGGTCCCCGGGCTCCCCCGAAGGCCCGGGGAACCCTCAGCCCGCGCCTCCGCCATCAGACTGGGAGTGCCTCTGATTGGGCGGTTCGGGGGCGGTGGGCCTTCTCCCCGCCCAGCTGGGGGTGGTGTCTTCCGGGAAGTTGAGGGGTCGCACCTGGGAGGTAGGGGGAACTATCGGGGCTCTGGGGGTTCCAGGCCTCTCCCTGACTGACCCTGTCCCTACCCACATTCCTCCATCTCTCTGCCTAGAGCTAGTAGGATTTTCTTTGTTTTTTGCTGCCCGCCCCTTCAGCTCCTCTTCACCTCCATCCCAACTTCCTGTCTCTGGTCCCTAGTCCCTTCCTTCCAGATCTGGACAGGACACACTCAGGTTGGTCCTAGATTTCTCTGGAGATAGGCCAAAGCTGCAGGACCAGAGGGGTGCTGCTGACCTCCCTGAACTTCAGTTTTCTTCATGTGTAAAGTGGGGGTGGTAATGGTAGAGCCTGCTCTATGTCTTTACAAGTACAGGGATTTTGCAACCCGTGGTTCCCCTTGATTATCCACCCAAACCAGAGACCAGAGATTCTGCTTTCCCCGTGTGTGAGCTCATGTAAGGATCTGCCGTGACCCAGGGTGTCCCTGGGGACACAGTGAGCCTCTGCACCTCTTGGGTGCTTCCAGCAGCTCCTGCGACCTTCTGTCTCCCCTGCCCCTCCTCTGAGCATCTTCTCTGGGAAGTCTCTCATGCCCCAGCCATCCTGCTGCAGCCTCTGGGTTCCTGATTCACAACTAGATTGAGCCCCACGAGGACAGAAACCACAAAAGCCAGCCCGTGGCCCTCAAAAGGAAATATCAGATTCTTTGCTCTGTGGTCCAAGAAGCCAGACTGGGGCAGGGAGGCAACTACAGGCCTGAAGCAAGTAGAAGCCTCAGCTGATAGCAGCCATTCATCCTCACCCCTCTGGGGCGGGGGGCTTCTCATACAACTCCGGGAGATGCCACCCTTGGGCTGGGAAGATGCACAGTGCCTGGGAGTGGGGAGGAAGGAGTAGCTCCCACTTGACCTGGCTCCTGGCTGTGATCACCCCACAAAGATCTCTGCAGTCCCTACAACAACACCCCTAGCAAGTGTTGTGTTATTGACAATCTATAGATGGGGAAACTGAGGCAAGGAGCCGAACAAGGCTTCAGAGTCCCCAGACTGGAGCCACCCAGGCCTCGTCTCCCTGGCTGTGTGATGAAGATGAAAGAGAATCCGAGGGATAGAGAAGGGGCTGGAACAGCTATCCTGAGACCTTCCAAGCCTAGCGAGCGGGGGGGGGGGGGGGGGGGGGGTGTAATTTTTTAAAAAATTTAAAATGTCATTACAA